GTGTGTGTGTGTGTGTGTGTGTGTGTGTGTGTGTGGTGTTGGGGGCGAGGGGGGTGGTCGTGTCTGGCTAGGGTGAGTTGTTGGCACTCCTTATCTGGGAGGTAAGAGATTTTCAGAGATTATCAGGGACTTGGTCTCAGCATACCCAGAGATGGGGCTGTCCTGGATTCAAAATGAAAATTTACATCTTATAATGAAACAGTCCTAGTTGCAAGGAGGGAACTCTATAAAAGGGGGGGGCTGCACCCAAGCAGAGAAGCAAAGGGGGAGCTACCTGTGCTCTGATAACATACTTCCCAAAGCCCACAGAGACTGGGGACAAACACCTCAATTTGAAGCAATCTGCAAAGTAGTGACATCCAGCTGACTTCACAGACAGTACTCAGGGTGAGGGGTAGGAGCCCAGGGCTCTTGGGGCACTTGGTTCTGCGATTTTAGGCCCCAGGTTTTTCGGGCTTCCTGATTTCTAATACCCCATCCTCCTGTTCCTTTGAGTACCCTCACCCCAGTTGCATACCTGGGCAGATGGTTTGGAAATCTTTTCTCTTTCTAGTCCCCAGGAACTAATCTAACCACCCTCTACTCTACTCCTAGCACCAGGCAGAGAGAGACACTTGGCAAGGAGGGCAGGTCCCCCTGCTGCTCCCAGCTTCCTGGAGTGGGTGATGGCCTCCTTAAATTAGCCCCACCCTCCTCACCATTCCTGCCCAACCCTTGGATAAAAGCAGCAGGAGAGGCACTGGGGAGGGACTGTGGGCATCCAAGACCCACTTGGGCACCCAGGGTAAAAAACAATACCCTGGCTTCTGCTCCACACAGCCCCGCACTCCCCCTGACCTGTCTCATCAAGAGCTTGTCTTCCCTTCTACTCACCCCTGCCAACCTATGTTTGATCAGTTTTTCTGAAACACTTTTTTCAGTTGAATCTGTAGGAGAGACATAACAGACCCTCTGGGACACCCCCTGGGCGTTGCCAAATTCTCTTGGGCCAACAGCATACTGGCTGCCAAGTGGTTTTGGGAACCAGTAGGCTTTTTAAGGCTGGCTTGTTCCTGTCTACTGGCTGACCATGAAGGCTGCTGCGGCTGACCCAGGGACCCTGACCCCGCTCCTCACTCTCACCAGAGAGGAGGCCAGGTCCCAGTGTGGGGTGAAAAGAGGGCGTTCCTCCTCAGTCCCCATCAGGCCTGGAGCTGAGGGGAAGGCCTGCAGCCGAATCTGGCCTGAGCAGGGAGAGCAGAGGCCTGGACGGGGGGCAGGCGTAGGACCCCACAGCCCCTCAGCCCTGCCTGCTTCTCTCCAGACGATGCTGTGTTCATAGAGAATGAGACTCAACGCAGGGAGTACGTGCTGAACCAGAATGGCCTCATCTACCTGGGCACGGCTGACTGCATCCAGGCTGAGTCCTGGGACTTCGGTCAGGTATAGGGGAACTCAGGGGCAGACGGAGGGACAGTGATTGCCCCATAACCTTCACTGGTCAGGCCAGAGTGGGCAGGTCCAAAGACTCCTGACACGAGGCCATTTCTTCATGCAGCTCCAGCCATGTGGTGCCTCTCTTCCCTCAGGGCCATCTCAGACCATCCTCACAACTTCCAGAGATTTCTTCCTAGAGACCACGCAAATTGAACCTCTGTTCAATCCCCACTGTCTACAGGATAAAAACTAAATCCCCTGGCTTGACACACAAGACCCTTCACAGCCAGGCAACTGCTTTCCTGTCCCCAAGAGCCACCCCATGCTCCAGCCCCTGGCCATCTCCTGAATATGCAGGCTGAATGACCCCTTTGCCAGGAAAACTTTCCCTCCTTTATCCCCTGGAAAACTCCTACCCATCTTTTAAAGCCCTCTGAAAGCCCGTCTCCACTGTGCTTCCAGGGTTGGATCTCTCCTAGAGCCCTGGCCATGTTGCTGAGATCTGTAGTCTCTGTGGTTACGTGTTCCCCTCACTCCTAACCATGAGCTTCTCAAGAGCAGGAGCTGCTGTGGTCTCCTCCCCACGCAGGGCAGCCTTGTCAGAAGCACTGGGAGCAAATTACATGGAAAACGACAGAAATGAAGGGAAGAGACACAGCCCTGGTGCTCAAGAGTTCACACCATCAGGAGCCCAGGAGGCCCTGGGGGAGGGAGGGAAACGCCAAAACTCCTGCAGGACAAGGCAGGGAGGAGTGGAGCCATCCTCTGGGAGAAGGACGAGGGGACGGGGCTGACTGGTGGGAGGAGTGCCTGACCTGGGGACCCTACATCATGGCCCCGTGTGGTCCTTACAGTTTGAAAAGGATGTCCTTGACCTCAGCCTGGACTTACTGTGCAGGGACAAGCAGGTGGAGAAGTGGGGCGACCCTGTGCATGTGGCCTGCGTCTTGGGTGCCTTGGTGAGTAAGGATGGGGTGGAGACGGGGAGGCGATGAGAGGGCGGCCCTCTGACAAAGCTGCCCCACCTCTGTGGCCCTGGAAATCTTCAAATCACAAACGGTGCCCTCCTCCCAGCGTGAAGGGGATGGTCCCTGGAGAAAGATCTGAGTCAGGAGGGGAGGACGATAGCATCCACGGGGGAGAGAAAGGCAGAGGGAGGTGTCGTCCCTCAGGACACAAGCCAGTGAGGACGACAACTGGCTTGGATTTCCTCAGAGGGCTCCTCGCTCCCTGCCCCCTCTCCCCAGCCCAACCTGGGAACTTAGGTCCCCGAAAGGAAGGGGGTCAGGTCCATCTTACCCAGTGTTTGCTGCTAAGGTGGTCAAAGGGACTTGTTTTCACTTCTAAATTATTCTCATGAAGGTATCTTGGTGCCTTCTCGCGGCCTTTAGAAGTCCGCTCACAGGAGGAACGCGTTCCCCATTTCCACATTCCCCTCTGAAGAGTGGGGGAGGGACAGGGCCTGCCTGCACGGAGCATGCGCGGCCTGAGGCCCCAGGTGCAAACGCTAGCTCATGCTTGTGCTCGCGGGAGTCAGGACCAGGCAGGTGAAGGAGCGGAGAAATAACCCCAGTGAGCGTCAGCCCTCCTGCTGCTCGTTTGTCTGAGCTTCGTTTACCATTGTGGCCCCTGAACCCCGGCTTCTGGAGGTCTTGTTAAAAAAGAGGATTCTGGGGCCCCACCCCTGGAGAGTACAACCTGGTGGGCCAGAAACATGCAGGGTTAACAAGTTCCTGCTGATTCCCAGGCAGGTGGTCTGCTCACCGCGCTGGGAGAACGGTGATGGTGACAGCCCTCCTTACCCAGCGCCTGCAGGCTGTCCTGTCCCGGGACTTGCATAACGTCCACACATTTCCCCAAACAGCTCCACGCTCTCAAGGAGAAGCATGTCCGGCCCACGCCACAGATCCAGGACACCCAGGAAAAGGCCTTGCTGAACAAGCGCCGGGGCAGCGCCCCGATCCTGCGCCAGTGGCTCAGAGGCGTGGGGAGGCCCGTGTATGATGGTCAGGCCTGGGTGTTGGCCACTGTTGCTTGCACAGGTACAGGGCAGGCTTGCCTGCCGCACCCACACATCACCTTGGCTACTACACGGAGTGTCTGCCCTGCCTCTTGGGTGGCCCCTTGGCCTCCCATGTGGCAGGAGGGGTACATCTCCAAAAGCAGGCCCAGCCTCCTCTCCGCAGCAATTCCCTGCCTTCATCTCCCGTACCTGCTTCAGATGCCCCATCTGGCCAAGCCAGTCTCTCCCAACCAGCTTCTGCTCCTCCTCCCTCTTCAGCAAAGTGGGGCCCTTCTGGTGAGCTCTGCTCCCAAACTCACTTCTCCCTGAAGTTTCCCTGCCTCTGCCCCAGGAAATCCAGCCCCAGGCCTCTGTTGTGTATTCCATAGGCCTCCCCCTGTTGTGTACTCTGCCTGCTCTGTAACTTGTTTGTGCCTCATTTCTCGGCCTTTATATGGCCTGGACCTGCCCGGTGTCAGTTCTAACTTCCTGGTACCTGTGCCCTTTCTCTTTCCACAGTGTCACCTGGCATTTAAGATAGTGAAAGTGTCCAGGGTCCAGAGGAGACAAGGAAAACGCTAGTCATATCCTCCCCCACCCCATGTCCCAGGCCTCTCTGGTGCCCTGACCCTCTGCCCTCTTCCCTGCAGTGCTGCGAGGCCTGGGAATCCCTGCCCGCGTCGTTACCACGTTCACCTCAGCCCAGGGAACTGGCGGGAGCCTGCTGGTAGACGAGTACTACAACGAGGAAGGGCTGCAGGTTGATGAAGGCGAGAGAGGCAGAATCTGGTGAGAAGCCCAAAGGGAATGTGGTCCCAGGCCTGGGAGGGCTCCAAACCTGCATGGTGTCACCATGGGAACCCCCCCAACCCCTGTGGCCCCGCTGAGAGTAGGCCTTCAAGACTCTTGGGGTCAGGGTCAGTTGTGGCGTATACACCCCTCCCTGGGAGTGTTGCCACCACTGCTACGCAGTGCCCCCACCCCCCACCCCACAGCATAACTGTCATTTCTAGGGCCTCTTCGCATTCTTTTTCTCCCACTTGAATTGTTCCCTTTGCTACCCTCAGGGTCTTCCAGACTTCCACGGAGTGCTGGATGGCCCGGCCTGCTTTGCCCCAGGGTTATGACGGATGGCAGATTCTGTACCCAAGTGCTCCTCAGGGAGGTAGAGGTAATGCCTGGGGGTGGGTCTAGGACCACCCTGGGCTGCACAGAGCTCAGAGAGGAAACAGGAGCAGCAGGTGGTCCAAAGGGGGTCAGCATCCCCTAAAAGAGGAGAAGCGGCAGGAATGATACTGGCCAGCAGAATGCTGACCTGATGCCCGCAGCTCATGGGGAGACCAGCCCCACTCAGAGCAACAGGCAAGGGAGCAGAGACTCAGTGAAGGGTCTTAAGGCTTTAAGGTCAGGGTCTTGTGGAGTGGGGCTTCTGAGGTTCTGGATGTGGATGAAGAGGGTAGCAGGATAGGCTCACACGCAAAGAAGGGAACTTCAGGGCCACAAGAGGATGGCTCTTCCTTTCCCAGGAACAGAACTGTCACAGAGCCTGGCACGTCCTAAGTGCTCAGTAAAGGCGACCTATTCCTATTGTATCTGTGTTCAAGCTGAGGCTAAGGAACTCCCGTGTCCTCTGGACCTCTGAGGTTCTTACCTGTCCAGTTTCTGAGAGGGCTCCTGCCATAGGTCATGACCAAAAGTACTGCCACTAAATAGTGAGTTTTCCCTCAGTAGTGCCCTCCCTGAAACCTGCCTAGTGCCCACCTCTGACCCTGATCTTACGGGAGGGACAACAGGGCACAGGATGGGGATTAGGGTGATGCAGCTCTAAGCCAAGCTGAGGCCTGGGCATGGTTCCTCTCACTCACCGAACTCTCTCTCCCTCAGCCTTAGGGGCCTGTGATCTGGTCCCGGTCAGAGCGGTCAAGGAGGGCACACTGGGGCTGACCCCAGCGGTATCAGACCTTTTTGCCTCAATAAATGCCTCGTGTGTGGTCTGGAAGCGCCATGAGGATGGGACACAGCAGCTGACCAACTCCAACACTAAGTATCTTGGCAACAACATCAGCACCAAGGGTGTGTACACTGACCGCTGTGAGGACATCACTCAGAACTACAAGTATCCTGAAGGTACTGGGCGGAGGAAGGCCCCAGGCTCCTCAGTACCCGCAACAGCCACAGAGGGAAATGGGTGAGCCAGACACACGCAGGCCAGGGAGAGATGCAGCCCCTTCCCCATCGTATACAACAGGATTTCTCAACCTTGTTTGACATTATTCACATGTGGGACCAGATAACTTTGTCGTGGGAAGGCTGTGCATCTATAGGATGTTCTATCCATGAGATGCCGACTCCCCCTCAATCACCACCACCAGTTGTGACAACCAGGAACACCTCCTGACATTTCCAAATGTCCCCTGGGGGCAAAATTGAGTGAGAACCACTGCTATAAAACAACACACTTAATACAATGCCCGGCTGCCAGGAGATGTCTCTCTCACGCTCTCCTCCCACGCCCCGTTCCTTGTACTTCCCTCCATATTAGTTGATGGAACCCACCGCCGTCCACCCGTTTGTCCAAACAAGAGGGCTTACACTGTCCTTGAGCCTCCCCTTCACTGCCCCACACTACTCATACCCGTCTCCTAATCTCCTTCCCCACTGCCTGCACCTAATCCAGGGCCCCATCATCTCTGGTCTACAGTATTGCAGCAGCCTCCTAACTGGACCCCCGCCTCCAGTCTCTCCGCCATTATTCCTTTTCCCTCTTACAGTTTCCAGAATGAGCTTCCTAAGACACAAATGTAATTATTTTACCGAATATTCCTGCTCAGAATATTCCAAAGCCTCCATTGTCTTCCGAGTAAGTCCAAACTTCTTCACTTAGGAAGATTCAAGTCCCTGCAAAACTTTCGTCAGAGACAGTGTGACTTGTACAAAAGCTAGCTTTCCCACTGCTCAAGGGGCAAATTCAGAGCACTTGAAGAACTTGGTCATTGAGTGACTTGGAAGAGACATGCTATGTCTGTGGTAGATCTACCTGAGACTTTTTCCCCAGACTTTTTCTTAGCTAAATATAGCCCTAGATGTTTTCAAATCTCTTGTGACTTTGGCATTTGAGCAGCAGTGGGTAAATGAACCTTCATCCTGGGCTTTTATTAGAAGGGTCTATACGTACTAAGTAAGAGGCCTGCTTTGTTTATTCCATTCTTCAGGATCTCCTCAAGAAAAAGAGGTGCTGAAGAGAGTCCAGGAGAGACTGAAGGATAGGAAAGACAGTGGCATCCAGCCTCCCAGTCTCGAGACTGATGATCCGCTATACCTCTTCTTGGAAGTGCCTAGCTCCCTACCCCTGGGAGGGGATGTCAAGCTGTCTGTGAAATTGTTCAACCCCACTGACCACGAGAAGGAAGTGCAGCTGGCCATTGCGCTGCAGGCAGTGTACTACAACGGCGTCCTTGCTGCCAAGTTCTGGAGGGAGAAGCTTCTCCTCACACTCAGGGCCAACTCGGGTAACTCTCTGTGGCTCCCTCCCCAGGCTCCCTCCACACACCAGCTCCCACCCTGGGTAGGCAGCAGCCACACAGCAGCTCCGGCAGATCTGAAGAGATGGCTGCTAGCCACTGGTGTGCCCTCTCCCCTTCTCTCACTCATCTAACACATGGTTACTGAGCTGCACACAGGAAAAAACCCCACAATTCTGATTGCAGTCATACAAGTAAACAGACCATGGAGCTGTGTAAGAAGTGTTTGATAAGGTAATCAGAGTACAGTGGAGGGGGAGCATCTCATCCGGGCTGGAGCAGCCTGCCCCCAGGGAAATCGGACTGCCCTGGGTCTTAAAGGGTGACTAGGACAGTGTCGAACAGAAAAGTGAGTCATGGGTATTTCAAGCAGAAGGGACACGTGCCCACGTTCTTCGTCCTCCTTGAGATTCTTATTTAATTGGTCTGGGATGGGATCCAGGCACTGGTATTTTTTCAAAGTTCCTTACATTATTCTAGGGTTGAAAGTCCCTGGACAAGAGCAGTTCTCAAACTTTGCCGCACATCAGAACCACCTGGGGGAAGTCTGATGCTCAGCCTGCACCCCAGAGCAATTAAGTCAGAAACTCCATGGTTTGACCCAAACTTCAAAAACTTTTTAAAATCCTTAGGTGATTCCAATGTGCAGGCAAGAGGATCAGTAGAACAGAGTTTGCCTACGTGACTGCAACAGCCTCCTGACCAGTCCCCCTACCTCTTCCCTTACCAAGGGTGGGAGGAGTAGCGGAGTGGCATGAGAGCCGGAAGGGGCCAGGTCATGAAAGCATGTACATCCTGCTATGGAGTGAGGTGGTTCACCACAACAGTAACTGGTGGTGGTGATGGTGGTGACAGGTGGGTTCTTGAGTGAGTTCAAACCTGAACTTGCTATGGCGAGTGAGGCATCTTTCTGGCTTCAGTGAGGTTCTGACTTCTTTGCGTTGTGTGGGAAACTACTACTGGTTTCTGGGGTACACCCCTTGGCACTGACTCCACCTGTTATGTGCTTCAGTTGAGACGATCTCCACCACCCTGTCCTCCAATTTGGAACAAACCCTGCCAGAGAACATCTTCCTGAGACTCACCGCCATGGCAACGCACTCCGAGTCCGGGCTTACCAGCTTTGCTCAGGAAGATATCGCCCTTTGCAGACCACACCTTGTCATCGAGGTAGGCACCAGTCCTCCCCCAAATTGCAGGAGTTTGCTGCTACTGAGGTCCCCATTTCAGAAGAAACTGAGCCCCTCAAACTTCAGGACAGGTGACTGTGCTAAAGAACTACCAGGAAATGCTGGGTTGAGAGCATCTTCTCTTGAAAGAGATAGATAGTTTCTTATATATGCTATTAAGGTTTAAATCTTCCAACTTTAGTTGATTAAGTAGGGGTTTCTAAAATCAGGGCCTTCTTGGGTGATGCCTCCATACTTATAGGAATAGTAACAGCCTATGGTTATTTAGCACTTTATATGCGTGCCAATGTATTTTCACCTCTCTCATGTCTTTTAATGCAAAAGCCCTGGGAGGTAGAACTGTCCCCATTATTCAGACGAGGAAACAGTCCCAGAGAGCATCATGCCCACAATCATAAAAATGGGATGTTCTAGAGGCTTAGGGATCTTGGTCCAGTCCTCTTTCCAATGTTTATTATGACCAAAATGAATGTGACCTGGTCACTGCCCTGGAGGAGGTTAGTGTTGGGTAAGGGAACTACAACGTGTGGTCTTCTATGTCAGCGCTTTAATAGACGTACAACATCGCTCTGGGACAAGTGAAGTAAAGGGGATTAATTTCAGCTGGTGGGCTTGGGGAAGACTTCGTGGAGGTGGCATTTGTGCTGGGCCTTGAAAAATGAGTAAGCTTTCAGTGCAGAGGTGGGGGAAGGCCACTGCAGACAAACGACTGAACAAAAGAGGCCCAAAGGAAGGGAGCCTGAGGGGTGTGCTGGGGTTGGAAAATGCCCAAAGAGGTTGGGATGTCTTTTAGTCAGGGGAAGAACAGATAAGCCTAGGGAGGTAGACTGGAGTCAGGCTGTGAATGGCTCTGAATGCCAACCAAAGCTGAATTCTAAACACAATGGGAAACTCTCCAAGGTTTTGAAGTGAAGGAAAGGCACCATCAGTGATGGTCAGTGATGGATCAAGGGTGAGAGTAAATGCAAGACAAGGTAGAGGAGTAAAGAGGTCAGCTGTGAGTCTGGGTGAGATGGCAGCGATAGGAGAGTAACGGAGGGGGTTACAGAGAGGCTGGTCAGGAGGGGAAGGAGTGACTGCAGCTCAGTGTTCTCGGTATCTCCCACAGATGCCAGAGACAGCAGAGCAACATCAACCTCTTACGGTCTCGGTCAGCATCCATAACTCTCTAAAAGCTCCCATGAAGGACTGTGTGATCTCCATTCGCGGAAGGGGGCTCATTTACAGAGAGAAGAACTACAGGTAAGAGACTGCAAGCTTCTTACAGAAACATCTCAACTGGTCAGAGAGGCAGGGACCCATGATTAATGACTATCTTTTTGCTGTGTCCATGAAGACAGAGCAAACACCAGCCAAAGCTGAACTAAAGGATTAGGGCCTCCCTCATCCTGGGGCCATCAATGTCTACAGGGGTTCAGGAGTGAGGGAGGCTGTGTGCCCCTGGGCACCTGACGCTGGCTGCTGCCCTGGTCATGCAGGAAGAGCGTGGGTATTGTTGGTGAATGCAGGTGAGGGGGTTAGGGCTGGGCGCCAGGGAACATCACAGGGAGGGTAGGCTGCCTCTCAGTGCGGCCAGAGAGCTGCATTCTACCAGTGATGCCATGGTAGAGAATTTTATTTACATATTCCCTTTTGTCCCTATTCCCTAGTCCCATTCCCAAAACCACTCTTCATCTCTTTTTGTTAGTACATGTGAAATGTTTACTCTTGCTTCATAAGCCTCTATTTTTAACTTACATAAATGATGTTATGCCTAATTCTTTTTCTTACTTTTCGCACATAACTGTTTTTCAGATTCATCCACACATGTCAAGTCCGTTGCTTCCACTACATATTACTCCATGGTGCCATCCCTCATCTCCTCCCACCCCATGCCACTCCACAGCCACCCCACAGTGCCTCCAACTCCCACACCACAAATACTGTTGCAGTGAACATCCTCACACCTGTCCCCTTATACACTTGCTTGAAACTTTGTGTCTATGGGGGCAGATATATGCCCAGGGATGGAATTGCTGAGTCACAGGATATAACCCAGTTTGAACAGGTACTGTAAGATTTCTTTGCAGAATCACTACAACTCCCTCCAGCAGTACTCGACAGTTTCTCTATTCCTACCATTCCTCCTCTCTTGGCAATACCCAGCTTTCTCTTTTTATCCAGTCTAATAGGAATAAGGTAACACCTCATTATTCTTTTAACTAGCAGCTCTTCATATTTTTATTAGCCTTTTCCATTTCTTCCTCTGTATAGTTTGTTCTTAACTATGCCCACTTTTCTCTTGGTGTTCCTGGCTTTTTTCCTTGTCGATTTGTAGGCGTTCCCTGTAAAGTCCAGGTTATTAGTCCACTGTTGGTTTCAGACGTTGCAAGTATATTCATTCATTACTGTTCCTTCTCTCATTACGTCCACTGCTTCCTCCGTTGAATACACACAGTTTAGTTTCATGATGCATCTCCTACCACCCCCGAGGTCCCTGACAGGTTGTGTGATTGCTGAGCCACTGCCTCAGCCTCAAGAAACTCAATGAGTCACTCTTGCCAATAAGTTGAGAGCAGGACTGCTAACATTTAACCAACTTCTGTGGGCTCCCAGATCAACTGTGGAGCACAGCTCCTCAGAAGAAATCTGCACCATTCCCTCAGTCACCATAAGACGGTCCACAGACAGGCCAGGAGGTTGCTAATAGGGCTGCAAATACCACCTGTTAACACACTGCTAGCTTCTCAATATGCCCACTGCACCCACTGCAGTTAGCAATGTGAGGGTTCCAAATCCACAGCTTTCCCAAACATACCCCAGTACTATTACCAGGAATGGGGCCAGACTGAAGTCACAGATGATAAAAGAAACAACAGGTGCAACTCGGAAGCCCTTAGAATAGGATATTTCTCTTCTCAACCATACAACTGCTTACCATAGGAGGCGCCTGTCTTCCATCCCCTTCAAACCTCCTCTGTTTTAAATGCAAGTTACTTGGATGTTTATTTATTCATCCCACCTCTTCAAGTAGGGAAGGTTCAGAGTCACTGGGACCAGCAAAGCAGTGAACCTGGGACAGAACTAGCACCTGCCTTCTCCTTTATTTCAGATTAAGTTCGGTGCAGCCTGGAGATACCTTGCACACCCAATTTGAGTTCACACCGATGCATGTCGGACTCCAGAGGCTCACTGTGGAAATGGACTGCAACTTGTTCCAGAACCTAACCAACTTCAGAAGGGTCACTGTGGTACCCTCTGAACCTCCAGCTTAAACTGCCAACTCTAGCATCACTCTCCCCAACCAACCCTTTGAATCTACAACCTAAAACCAAACATGTTGGGAAGAGAAACTTTGCTTTTATCAGACAAATGAATCTCTGTTCAAGTTGAGCAGAAGAGTGACCAAGGACAAAACTAGTTTCCCAGAAATTAATAGAAAAGACACTCACTTCTGTCACAAGGCACCCATGAAAACTAGTTGCATTTAGTTTTCCAGAATAGAAATTACTGGGCTTGAGAAACAACAAGAAACCTTTGTAAAGATAATCAGATAAGTAAATTTAGATTTTTCGAGTTCAGGGTGTTTCATAACCATTTCATGGCTCATTAACATATTCATTAGTTTATAGGTAAGGAAAAGAACCTAACATTTAAGTCATTCTTCTATTTCTGATGAAATGGGACAATATTAGCTAAAAATGGGATTTTTAGGTAATCCTAAAATTACACTGATTGGTGCCATCCCTGACCATTATCCTTAAAGAACCAAGGATTGCTGAACAAGGTTATAAAATACACAACATAAAACATGAGCACAGAATGATCTAGATTCAGCTACAGATAGGTCCTTATTGAAGTTAAGTATCATTAAATATTAAATATCCTACAATTAAGTCTGATGTTAATAACATAAACTTGGTCCAGTTGAGAAATACACAATTATTAAGTATATAGAAAAGAGGCCCTATACAGAAAAGAGAAAAGAACTGGACTCCTTTTGCACCAAGTTACAAATTTTTTTGTTTACATTTTGTTGTTTTGGTACTCTTGGTTTGATTTTTGTTCCTTTTCTTTGGAATACTTGTTAAAAATACAGAATGGCACTTTATAAAAGTAAATTAAAACTTCTGACCTAAGGAATTTCAACCCCAAGAACACACTAGTTTCTCAAAAGAATGGCTGCTGGGCTTGGAGGGCATTATGCCAAGTGAAGTAAGTCAGAGAAAGATAAATACTGTATGGTATCACTTATATGTGGAATCTAAAAAATGTAACAAACTAGTGAACACAACAAAAAAGAAGAAGGGTTGGGGGAGGAAAAAAAAAAATCTGTTGTTGCTGATTATACCCAAAGAGGACCATGGGGATGTCAGAAGGGCAGATGTGAGGAAGCACATCAATACAAGACAAAAGACTGGCGTTAGAGATGTAGAGCCCTGTAGTACAGGCATAAGGCCCAAGTCAGGTCACCTGAATATACATCACTGTATATCTTGCTTCCCAAGATGTGATCTTCCAGACTGATGCAAAAATATAATTAGCTGGTGATGGTTTTGCAAAAGGATTAAGAGAAGAGGCCCTTAAAATTATATAAACTCTCTTATACATTAAAAAATTTTGTACTTACATTCGGGGCACGTAATACAAAAGAACAACAATACAAGTATGTATAAGGAAAACAAGTCCATTCAATAAGGTGGACAAACCTAACAACTGAGCTTGTTAACCTAAAAAATAAAACAGCCAGTTACATTACCAGCAAAATGGGTTTATTCAGGAACAGCGGAAAAAAACTTGCAATTCAGGGCAAGCAGGCTACAGTAAAAAGCCACAGGCAAGTTCCATAAACAAAGGAGGAAGTTGGGAACAGTTGTTTTGAACAAAAGCCATGGAGGAAAGTGAGATTTCAAGGTAATGAGGGGTTCTCATTGGGTTAGTAGCTGGGCTAGCCTCTTTCCCATAGGAGATGCAATGTACATCATTCCTGTCTCTAACTGACAGTCCTTCCTGATACTAACCTAGAGGGGGACTGAGTGGGAGCTCCCCCTTCTGGCCTCTTGACTCCATTTAAAATTAGGTTTCCTTTTATTAATTTTCATAAGCTTAATACCAAAAAATAATTAGATGTTCCTGGAGAATGTCATTCTAAGTGAAGTAAGCCAGAAAGAGAAAGAAAAATACCCCATATGAGATCACACATATGTGGAATCTAAAAAAAAAATA